GGTACCTCTTTAAAAGGGACGGTAGCAATGGCTATCAGATTTCATGATCCCCGCGGGATGCCTACGCCACGCAACGGCCGCGGCGGCCTTCGGTGGTATTTCATCCAGAAAGGAAAAGTGTGTAGCGCGAGTCGGGCTCGACAAAATGATAGGAAATCTTTAGTCAGACTAGACTTAAAACCTTAAAAGCCATATAAGGTGAAAAACTTTATGTCTACGATTTTAGCAAAGTTCCTATTCACATTCTTGTTAAACCACCCGGGTAAAAAACCCACACATGCCCGGACCCGGACCACCCCATACCACGTCCAACAAAGCAAGTAGAATAACAGAAATTCCCGCATTAGTGACGTGTGTCGCCACGAAAAGTAGTCTCCGCTCGTGGCGGTCGTATAAACCCGGTCGACACCGCCAAACCGTGGGATCCGGGTGCGCCGACCTTGGCGTGCGTAGTTTCGCGTAAATAACTACAGACACTCCATCAAGATCCTGAAAAACAGATCCCTGGCATCAAACGTCAAAACATGAATTAAAACATGGGAAGCTCTGCATCGAAAGGCATTTTAAGAATACCGTGAATTGCTGCAGAAAGATTTTTAGCTTGGATTGGGGGATTCCTTTAACAAGAAAAAATTTATCAAGACCAATATAGCGGCTTCAAGCCCGGAATATTGGAAAATTGAGGTTGAGGTTGTGGTGCGGCTCACTTGCATCACGAATGCCCCATGTCGATATTGATATCCAAATCGTCCAAAGACAGCCCGCCCTTCTTCCCATTGTTTCCTCTGCTGGAACCATCGGATCCGCCTCCGCGTCGAGTTATTCCTAGAGTCCCAGCCAGTCCCTGAAAATATTTTGTTGCTGGTAGTGACGGTGGTGTTGATGTATTTAAAGTGTGTGCTATGGTTCAGTACAAAAAGGCGGTCAGCCAACCGCAACGCGCCCGCGACGCAACCGGGACAAGCCTGCGAAGCGCTCGAGGCCAAAACGCGACGCGCCGTGATGTTACCGCAGCGGCCCGCGACGCAACCTCAAAGCACGGGCAAATTCCCCGAACTTCGGCCGTGACGTAACCGGAGTGCGCCCACAACGTAAGAGAAATGTTGCAGCAACGCGCCCTTTACGCATCATCAACCTGTCCACAAAGCGCCCGCAGCGCAGCCGAAAAGCTGACACGACGCAACCGCAATGCAAGCACGCGATGCAGCCGTAATCAATCCGCATGCGCCCGTAACGCATCCGCAACGCAAGCCTTCTCTTAAGACCCACCCATCACCGCGGCCGTCCCTCGACCTTGAGTCATAGCGATGCCTGTCTCGTTTCTTGTGCTCGTGGCTATGGCTGTCGCTGTGACTATGGCCATGACTATGACTATGCTTATGGGGCGGGGTCGGAGCTCGACGAGTTGTAGTTGGGGGCGGAGGCGGTGGAGGCGGCGGTGGAGGTGGCGGTGGAGGTGGAGGAGGAGGCGGCGGTGGAGGACGCGGTGGAGGAGTTGGCGGTGGCTTCGTGTCTGAGCCGAATGCCGGGCAAACGGCCAGCCAATCGTGGATCTGAAAAGGACTCCTACACGGAGAAGTTCAGCTTGGAGTTCAGGAACCTAGGCATAGGTTCAAGTTTGAGTGTATGCTTAGGCTTAGGCTTAGGCGCGCTTGTCCATGGTTAGGTTTAGCCAGGGCGAAATCCATTAGTCATAAAACCATTAGTCATAAACCCATTAGTCATAAATTCCATTAGTCATAAACCCATTAGTCATAAATTCCATTAGTCATAAACCCATTAGTCATAAATTCCATTAGTCATAAATTCAATAGTCATAAATTTTATTAACCGTAGATTTTGAGGTTTGAGTGTTGAGTTTTGAGTTTTTGAGTTTCGAGGTTTGAGGTTAGAGGTTTTGAGGTGTATGTGATGGTCCTTGTCGTGTTCTCGAATCAAACTCCTTGGTTGCACGTGATCGGATATCATTAAACCTATTAATTTTGGATTTGTTAACGGGATTATGATCCCAGAGAATAGCATTTTCAAGCTAATCAGTTTCATAACATTTACTTGACTAATGGAATTTGTATTTAATGGATTTATATTTAATGGAATTTATGACTATTGGATTTCATGACTATTGGGCTTATGACTAATGGAATTTATGACTAATGGGTTTATGACGAGGATGGGCTTTATGACTAGTGGGTTGTATGACTAATGGTTTTATGACTAATGGGGCGAAATCGTTTAGCCATGAGGCTTAGTCTTAAGCTAGGGCTTGGAGCTTGGAGCATGGGCGTGAAGCTCAAGTTCAGCTTGGCTTACGTCATTCCAGCCAAATTTCGACCTACCACATTATCAGCCAATGCATCGCCGCTCAGCGTCACAGAGTTGATACCGCCATTGCACTGAAAGAGATTCAACGTGCCTTGAAAACAACCAGAGCTGAAAGTACCTAACCGGCCCAATCGGTGTCTGCCTTCCCTTGATGTCAAAGGTGGCCCCCAGGCCATCTGTTATTACCACCGTAGGTGACTTGGACTCGTGACTGCGAGATGATGCTGTAAGGAATCGAAATTACCAGCCAACGTACGGAAGATCCTAATCTCTTAAACAATCTCATAAAAATACCCACCGGATCGTGATGACGAAATTGGTTCCCGGAAGAAACGGCAAGACGTTAAATGTGTTTGGTGGCTCCCAAGCCTAAATTATCGAGTTGGAATCGAGATCTGGCAATATGAACGTTATTATTTGTTGAGTTCAGGCTAGGTCGCCGCATGATCTGAATTCAAACTTTTA